CTGTAGGACTGTAGGTCTGTAGGACTGTAGGACTGTAGGACTGTAGGTCTGTAGGTCTGTATGACTGTAGAATCAGTCAAACCAGTTTGCTTCTTGAGTTTCTTATGTTTTATTGTTATAAATCTACTTTTTTCTTGTGTTTGCAGAGAAAAAYCCTGAGTTTGTCTCAAGAAGCTTCATTATTCAGGCTGAAGTGTTTTGGTTCTTCATCATTTCGGCTCCTTCACCTCCATTAAGATCTTTCTTCTTGTTTTTTTGCTCAAACGGTAAATTTTTAAATTTTGTTTTGTTCAGAAATGTTGTCGGTTGTCAGACAGATGAAGTTTGAAGCAGCAGAGTGGTTTTCAGAGAACTGACACAGATTGTGGATCCAGCCTGAGGCTCTGGTGTCACACTGACCTCCACATCAGACCTGATCAGACCGACCGGAGCCCAAACTGCAGCAGATCTGTTCCTGTCAGGTTGTTCACACAACTCACCTCAGAACCTCTTCTTCTTTGAACCCGCAGCTTGTAYKAAGGTTTTGGTGCTTTAGGTTAACTGTGAATGTGTGGAAGRGTTGAGGAGTGGAGCACGCTGACATGTGATTGGACCTCCTGCAGCCTTCCAGCTGGCTGATTTAAGACAAGTCTGTTTCACCGAACTGCAGCCGGGAAGTGCAGGAGAGCGAGCGGACAGGCGGGAAAACTGGAGCAGAAAATCTGGCCCCATCATACACACTGATGTACACACATGAAAAGAGGGAGAGGACGGCGCGTTGGCTGGGATGGAAGAGAAAAAGGAAGCGGAGGATGCTGGGAGGAAGAGGAGGCTGATTTAAGATATTCAAGTAGCTGAAGGGACAGATTGGAGCCTGAGATGAAGCTTAGAGACTCACAGTCTGCTGTTTTATTCCACTCGAAAAGCTGTTTTTAAAAGCTGAGCATCAAACACGACAACATCACAGCCTGAGATGATGCAAAAMAAATACCTCCTCCTCCAATTTCTCCACTTAAATTCCTCCTGCAGGGAGGAGKGCTGCCAGTAAACAGCTGAAGTGTAGCATCTGTGCTAATTGGTCCTCGTCCCCTGTGTGGACGCTAGCAGCAGGACCGGTGTTGTGTCTATTCCTGTCCAACGGTAAACACTCCCCAGGCTCCGTCAAGCTGATTCCTCCTGCCAGACCCAGGATTACAGGAGGAGCTGCAGCGCAAAACAAATAAAACCAAACTGTTGTTGTTGWGTGAGAGGCTTGTTCCATCCTGCAGAACCTCAGAGGTCTGCAGGGGCYGGAGGAGCACAGGCTGGAGTCAGGCTAACAGCTAAAGGCTAACGCTAACACAAAGTTAACTGATACGTTGGGTTTTTAAAGTAACAATCCATGTATCTGTATGGAGCCGTTCAACACACACTGTGTATGGATCAATACAGATATTTAACATTTATTTTATCAACTTGTCTTCTGAAGATGCTCTGTGTTGAAGGATCAGGGGATCTGTGTTCGACTACTCCACCTAGGKTGCATTTTGAGCTCAGATCCACTGAGAAACTCTTGAGGTTAAACAAATATTCATAATTAATTTCAGTAAATTACAAGTTAAGAAGGACATGGACTCTTTTTTTGTATCGAAAAAATATCAAACTGTGAGACTGACGTATCAAAGCGAACCGAATCATTGCAGCCTTATTTTTTTACTTAGTTTTAGTTTAGTTTTATGTATTTATAATGTGTTTGCAAATTAAGTTAGAGGAACATTTGTAAAAATTTGTTTCAGGTTTGTTAGTTTTTATCGACACGTTGGACAGATGTGGTTTATCTGACAGATTCATCTGGAGAGTCTGTTAAACTGCCCGCTGTTAGCTTCAGGCTAAAAGTGTAAAACATGTTTAAATGGCTGATAAAGACACACACACGCACACACACACACACACACACACACACACACACACACACACACACACACACACACACACACACACACGCACGCACACAGCTGTGCGTTTAGACAATCAATTGTCAGATTGACAGAGCAGGAGCTGGAAATGGTTATTGATCAGTTGGAGCACAGAGCTGCTCTGTTCAGCTGCTGCTCACGAGTCAGAGGACGAGCTCAGCAGGGACGAGCTCAGCGGGGACGAGGACGAGCTCATTGGGGACGAGCTCAGCGGGGACGAGCTCAGCGGGGACGAGCTCAGCGGGGACGAGTGTCAGCGGGGACGAGGACGAGCTCATTGGGGA